ACACCCCCACTGCTGTGAATACCACGCCGCCAGGCCCGAGTGGGACGCGGAGCGAGCGACGCGCGGCGGCGAGGTGCTGCTGGCGCTGCAGAACCGCGACGCGATGTGGGGCAGGCCCCGCCGCCGTCGAGCGCACAGACCCTTCCAGGAGCCGTCCACGAACCTTCCACGAACCTTCTGCGATGTGGGGCTAGGTCCATCGTCTCGAACTCGTACGCGGACGGGGGGTGCGCGCAGCCTAGAAGGTTCCTAGAAGGTTCCTAGAAGGCTCCTAGACGGCTCCTAGACGGTTCCTAGACGGTTCCTAGAAGGTTCCTAGAAGGCTCCTAGAAGGTTCCTAGAAGGCTCCTAGACGGTTCCTAGACGGTTCCTAGACGGTTCCTAGACGGTTCCTAGACGGTTCCTAGACGGTTCCTAGACGGTTCCTAGACGGTTCCTAGACGGTTCCTAGACGGTTCCTAGACGGTTCCTAGACGGTTCCTAGACGGTTCCTAGACGGTTCCTAGACGGTTCCTAGACGGTTCCTAGACGGTTCCTAGACGGTTCCTAGAAGGTTCCTAGAAGGTTCCTAGAAGGTTCCTAGACGGGGGGTGCGCGCAGCCTAGAAGCGAGACGCGTCCTCTAGTCTTCCAAAGCAGCGCCCGAGAGGACGCGCCGGTTGCAGTCAGTCAGTCAGTCGTACACACACGTCCCTAGCATGGAGGACGGGGCACACGCACTCGCGGAGCACACACGGGGGCATTGCACACGAGGCGGTGTGGTGCGTCCTCAGGGAGAGGCATCGCCACGGACAAAAGTATAGCCAGAGGGGCAGGCAGGCAGCGTGGACCCCCACTCACGGCCCCGCGAGCGCTTGCGGCGAAATGTCCATCGCTGCATTGGTTCTCGCCACGCATGATCGCACTGGCTCAGCGCGCCTGTTGCATTCGGCCGTATTCAGCGGCACTCGCTGTACTCGCCCCTCGTACTCGCACGGCGCGCGGAGTCTGCACACTCGCACCGCATCCCCCGCCATGAGGTTGGCGTACTCAATCACTTCCACCAATCCATATTCAGGTGCATCACTACTGAGAGCGCGGCGCGCGTGCGCGAGGCGGCGCTCGCAGACGCAGAGGCGCGAGTCGCGAGTCGACACCGAGAACCCTCTCGGAGCCTTCTCGGCGCCTTCTCGGAGCCTTCTAGGAACCTTCTCGGAACCTTCTAGGCGCGTGCCGACCCCTCCGCCTTCGCCGCCGTGGCCTCCGACCCGCTCGACGCGGGCGTCGCTGCGTGGCTGCTCCGGGGATGAGGGAGGTGTGAACAGCGTCTCTTCACACCGTACTGCTGTGAATAGGCGTCGCTGCTTGGCTGCTCCGGGGAGGCATCCGCCGGGTGAGGTCGGTCTCAGTCCACTTCTGCTGCTGCTTGGAGCCTTCTAGGAGCCGTCCAGGGCCCTTCTAGGTGGTGGTCGGGCACAAGCCATCCGGCGACTGCGCCGCGGTGCTCTCGGCTTCCCACACCGGCGTCGAGATCGTCTCGGCCGACACGTGCTACGCCGACCCGAGGGCGGCCGACCGGCGCGCGATGAGGGTGGTGTGAACAGCGTCTCTTCACACCCCCACTGCTGTGAATAGGCGGCCGACCGGCGCGGCGCCTCCGTATCGCACGTCCTCCTCCGCGGCGGCTCGCTCGAGGAGATGCAGACAGAGCTCTTCGGCACGCTGGCCACCGGCGCCCGCCACCGCGCCCTCCTGCCCGTGCTTCGGCGCCCCTCGCCGGCGCCGTGGCGCTCGCTGCTGCAGTGCCTCGCCGCCGCGGCGGGGGGGCGTCGTGAGGAGGAGCCCGACCCGCTCGTCGGGCGGCGGCTGCCCGACGGGCGGTGGGTCAAGGCGCGGGTGCTCCCGGCTGAGGGTCAGGCGGAGGCGAGGTACCTCTGCTGCAGCGGCTCGGGCCGCCGTGTGGAGCACTCGTATTTGGGCGCAGGGGAGTGCCGGCGGCTAATGGGTAATGTCGACGGCCGCACGGTTGCCCCTGCCGCGAAGCGCGATTGAGTTTCACAGTTGGTGTGAGTGTGTGCTGCTCAAGAGTGCCGCGTCTTCTTCTGTCTTGCGTCCACCCATCGGCACGGGCTAGCTGCCTCTCAAAATCAAGAGACCCTCACCCGCACAGACTCACAGACAGAGTGAGAGGTCGTGGTATCACGCTTCATGCTAACTGACTCAGTGAGTGATCCACACATGCAGTACACGTTCTTCACGCTTGCGGGCCAAATGGCACGGGTGAGCGGCGCCCCGCATGCCAAAAGGCGCGGCTCGAGAAGATCAGCCGAGCCGGAGCTCCATGATACCAAACGCGATCACATTAAGTCGCACTCGGCGTCGGTCGGCCATGCAAAATGCGGCGTATACCATGTGTTGCCGCGGTTACCGGCGTTGACTAGAGGCGTCAACCTGTTAGTTAGGTCGTTCTCCAATGAAGGACTCAAAGGGCGGCCGCATGGACGAGAGCTCTAGTAGAGAGAGTCTTGGTGAGCCGCGCGATCCGAGCTGGAGCGCCGCTTCGCGCATTACTTGCGCGCCGTGATCTTGCGCACGCCAAGAGTGGCGGCGACCGTGACGGCCACGGCAGCGGCGACCTCGAGCGACGAGATTGGCTCGACCACCTTTGGTCGAGCGACGAAGCGAAAGTGGGCGACGGGGTGGGGAGGAGTGGGGACAAGTGAGATACAACTTGGCACGGTGGGAGAGGGCTCACCTCGCCATCGATGTAGTGCATCGGCTTGGGGTTCACGGCCGCCACGACGAGGCGGCCGAGGGAGGGGCAGACCGCCTCGACGAGCGGGACGAGGTACTTGTTGCGCGCGACGACGGCCGGACTGTTGTACGAGGTCGCGACTCCGTCGACGACCGGCCAGCCGCCGTGCATAGTGAGCGGGCTGTGCAGCCCGTCGGCCACGACCTTGGTTATCTTGAGGACGGGCGCCTGGCAGGGGAGGGGAAAGCGGAGGGGGGGGTGGGGCGGGGAGGGGGGGGGGGCTCGCATCGGGAGAGGCAGGGGTGTGTGTGGTGCTGGGGGTATATAGACGCGCCTGCACGAGCGTGCCCGCGGCCGGCGACGCGAGCCAGATCGTCTCTCCGACGGCAACCTCGGACGCCTGCTTGAGCGCCTTTGCCGGGCCGGCGGGCAGCTTGCGTCGGGGTGAGCGTGACCGTCGCCGTCGCGGTGGCGAGCGAGAGGAAAGCCGCCTTGGCGGACGGGTCGGCCAGCGAGAAGGAGGAGACGACGTCGAAGCCGAGGGTGCCTAGTAGAAGTAAGCGACTGTGAAACAGATGAAAACGCTCTCACGCCATCGAAAGCGAGGGTGCCGTCGGCCGCCGCAGCGAGGATCGAGTCGCCGGCGGAGATTGAGGAGAGGAGGGCGGTAGCGCCGTCGGCGCGCTGGACCGTCGCAGAGCTCGGGAAGCACGGCGGGTCCGAATGAGGCGGCGGCGACGGCGAGGCGGAGGGCGGCGGCGGCGGCGACGGCGAGGCGGACGGCGGCGGCGGCGACGGCGAGGCGGACGGTGGCGGCGGCGACGGCGAGACGGAGGGAGGCGGCGGCGACGGCGAGGCGGAGGGAGGCGGCGGCGACGGCGAGGCGGAGGGAGGCGGCGCCGCCGGCGGCGAGAAGCCGCACGCCTCCGCCCTGGCCTGGTGCTGGCACGGGGAGAGCGCGAGAACGAGCCCACGGCCGGCGAGGCGGCGGCGCCCAAGAGTGCCGTCCAGCGGCGGCGGTAGGGCAAGAGCGTGCGATGCTTGGGAGGACTTGGAGTTAGGCGGAGAGATGCCATTGACGCTCGTTCGCCTTAAGCGAGCGCCGGCAGCCGAAAATCCTGCCCGAGCTCGAGCATGATCTTGATTGCCTCCTCGTCGAGGTTTGCGCGCCGCAGCTTGGCGACGAAGTCCGGGTGCCGCGCGAGGAGGCCGTCGACGATTGACGCCGCCGCCGCCTCCTCGCCCTCCTCTTGCGCCTCCTCTAGGCGGCGGTTGTCGGAGCACGCAATCTCGACCTTGCCGTCGACCACCTCGGTGGCGCTGCCAAGCACGACCTCGACCTTGCCGTCGAACACCTCGGTGGCGCTCCCGAGCACGACCTCGACTTTGCCGTCGAGCACCTCGGTGGCGCTCCCGAGCACGACCTCGCAAAACCCCGTCGGGTCGAGGGCTGTGCCGTCGCCGCAGACCCCGGGGGGCAATGCGGGCATGACGAAGCAGCACTCCAGCGAGCCCCACAAGTAGGGCCACGCGCTCGTCTGTGCGTCGAAGCTGGCGTGGATGAGCGCCTTGTTGCAGTCGCTGAGGGAGGAGGCGCCGTCGAACATGGCGTCCATGTAGACGACAGCCGACACGTCCCACGACGAGATGTCCTTGTCGAAGGAGGTGGCGCCGGAGAACATGCCGCTCATGTAGAGAACAGCAGACGTGTCCCACGAGCTGAGGTCCTTGTCGAAGGCGGAGGCGCCGCGGAACATGGCGTTCATGGAGAGGACTTTCGACACGTCCCACGACGAGATGTCCTTGTCGAAGGAGGAGGCGTTGTAGAACATGTAGTCCATGTAGAGGACCGCAGACGTGTCCCACGACGAGATGTCCTTGTCGAAGGAGGAGGCGTTGTAGAACATGTAGCCCATGTAGAGAACCGCAGACGTGTCCCACGATGAGATGTCCTTGTCAAAGGAGGTGGCGCCGGAGAACATGCCGCTCATGTCGAGAACCGCAGACGTGTCCCACGCCCCGATGTCGGGGTTGCACGTGCTCTTGCCGGTCGTGGAGCCGTAGCCGGCGCGGAACAGCCAGCTCATGTCGGTGATGCGGCTCACGTCCCAGTCCGAGATGTTGCCATACGCAGCCAGGGCGGCCGCCTCGTTGCTGCACCACAGGTCGGCCGCGGTCTGCAGGGCGGGCTTGTTGGCAAAGGTGCCCGGTGGAGATGGTGGCGGTGGGAGGGGTGCAACTCCCGGGGGGAAGGGCGGCGAGGCCGGCGGCGAGGGTGAGGGTGCCGGCGCGCCGGCGAGGGTGCCGGGAGGGAGTAGTGCGACAAAGGCTGCGAGGATGAGCTTCATTGTCTGCGGAAGGGGAAAGGTGGGGGGCAGGTGGCACGGTGAGGGTGAGTTAAGGAGCCTGCATTGGTCGGAAGTGCGAACAGCTATGCGCATGAGTGGGGGGTCTGAAATGAGAGGAGAGTGACGGGGGACAAAGCTCGGACGTTGAGCCTGCGGAGGGCGTCGCAACGAGCAGGGAGCGAGCTCAAGTTCATGTCGCGGGCGATTGGAAGCCGGAGAATATAGAGAGGCGGGGGGGTTTGTGGGGGAGGTGGGGGTGGGGCTGGGTGGGGCGGTGTGTGTGTGTGTGTGTTGTGTGTGGGGGGGGGGGGGGGGGCTTCCGTCCCTGCCTCCTGGCGTGCCTGCATTCGTCCGGGCGGGCGTGCCGGCGCGCGTGCCTTTGCCTGTGTGTGCCTGCGCGTTGGTGCGTGTTTGTGTTTGTGTGTGCGTTGCTCTCCTCTGCTCTGTGGGGGCTGCGCTTTTCCTGGGAGCTGCGTCTCCGGGGTTTCCCCCCTCGTCGTGGCGGCGTCTCTCCCTTCCTCTGGCGGCGGCCGGGCGGCGCTTTCCTTTCGTCCTCGGCGGCCTTTCCTGGCTGGTGAACTTCCCCCGGATCCTTTGGCGGGGCACGTTTGGGCGGAGTGCTTCCAGGCCCTGAGTTTCCTTTACGGCCCACCCCCATTCCGGGGAAGCTGCCAATCCTGGTTCTGGCAAGCAGTTGGCACCGAAAACCCCACCAAGACTTCTCGGGAAAGCCTCCCGGTTTCGACCTTCCCATAACCCCCACATGACTCCCCCTGTTTCCCCCCCCTACGGCTTTAGTAAAAGAAATTCCAACCTCGGGGGGAGCCGATTTGGCCAGAATCCTAGACTTGGTTCATTTCATTGACACCCCCGGTTTTCCCGCTCCGACCGGAAACTTTGTCGGGAGAGAACCCCTCGTTACCCTTACCGAGAGACCGCCGTTGCAGCCTCTAATCTTTAGAATCCTCGTCCCCCCTCCGACCCCTCTATAATACAACCCCCGTGGGGCGCGCCGCGCCCAATAAGCATGATAAGCGGTGCCGTAGCTAATTAATAGCCAATAACGTCGTTATTAGGCTAATAGTTTGATAGCGTGTGTGTGCGCGCGTGCGTGCGTGCGTGCGTGAATGTGTGCGGGGCGCGGCAGCCCGCAACAGAGCCTCGGCGACGGACCCTGCGCGAGCGCGACAAAAAGCGGGTCAAGGCAGAGGCAGAGGCAGGGCGGGAGGGGGGGGGGGGGGGGGGACATGGTGGCCCCCCCCGGGTGCGCAGCTGCCAAATAAATGGGGCAAAAGGGAGGGGGGGGAGGGGGGGGCGGTAACGCGGAGGCGGGAAGTGCCGCGCGTGCCGAGGAGGTGCTAGCCGGCGGTGGTGGCGTCGTCGGCGATGGAATCGGCGACGTGGAGATCGGCGGTGACGGTCAGCAGTGGCCGTGACGCTGGCGATCAAGACGGCGGCGATGAATCGGCGGCGAAATGTCGACGGCAAGGGCAGCCGGCGGCGGTGAGCGCAGCCGACGTGGTGTTTCGACGAGAAGACGAGCTTTTGGCTGCCGTCGTAGTAGTTTTGTGGAGATTTTCCCGGCACCGCGGAGACCATCGTGTGCGCGCACCAGTCGGCACGGTTGCCCCAATCCCTCGTTGGCTGTGTGGGAGTGTCTCGAGGGGAGTGTGAGCCCGCGCGTCGACCCGGGCGCTGGGCAGGGATCAGGCGCGTGTAGCATCTAGGCGATGGCTTGCGCCGGCAGACCTGCCGAGTCGCCTATGGGGGAGAGCCTTTGCGCGTCAGATGCCCCGCTGATCAACGGGAGGCAGCGGGGGCGGGCGTCACCATTCTTTGAGAGGTGAGCAACAGGAAGGCAGCGTAAAAAAAATCTCATGCAGGTGGGCGCGGGCGCGGGGTGCGGTGCGGTGTGAGTGTGCGCGTGTCATGTGGCTACAGCAAGTGTCCGTCCGTCTGTGTTATTATTAACAACGAAGGCGCTCTCAAAAAAAAATGGTTTTCGTGTACACAAGCGCGACCCAATGCCACCGTTCTCACCCGGGGTGACCCCGGCCGGGTCGTCGACACTCTCAGAACCGGTGGAGCTGGGAGAGGCTGGCGAAGACGAAAGGCGGCAGCGGAGGAAGCGACACCAACAGCGAGGGAAAAGACCACACCGGCCGTCGTGTGACGCTCGGCAAGCGAGCAAGAGAGCGAATCGGGGAGAACCGGAGCCCCGAGAGGACCGAAGGTGGAGCTCCGGGACCGAGGACTAAGCAAGTGTCTGTGTTTGGGCGTGGTGTCCAGTGTAATGTCCACTAGCTCCGAGTAGAGGGGGCGTCCTGCAGTTAAGGGGAAACCCGGTACGCGGGTCCAACCCTCGGAGAACTGTGTTTACTTTAAGGCCCTTGCCCTGCGAACGCGCACCCCCGGGCTAGGGCTTTCTTGCCCGTAACCCGATGCCAATCATCCGGCCCGCTGGGTGCGCTTCTGAGCTCCCCGGCCCTGGATGTGCGGTTACTGACTGCACTCCAAGTGCTCCAAGTGTACACTCCAAGTGCTCCAAGTGTTGGTGAATCCTCCGTGTCGCGATGCGCTCCCCACTCCCGTTCCCCTGTGTCCCTGATCGTCCTTCCAAAACCCTGCTCGGTGTGAACGGCGCGTGAAAAACGCCACTACGGGCGAGCGTATCTCTCTCGAGGTTCTCGAGTTGGATATCCTTTGGCCGCGTTGGGTAGCGAGGATTGGTGTGACGCGGTCCAAGGCTATTCCCACATGTGCTGGCACCCACATGAAGACCACCGCCTCTAGCTTCGATCTATAGTAAGCGATCGCCTCCAGGAGCCCGCCTCTCTTTCCCTCCCTTTCCCCCCCTCTCTCCTCCCTTTTGCCCTTGCCACGTCCCTCAGGCCTTCTGGCATCCCTTGCGGTGTTGTTCTAAAATATAAGCCCCTCTCACAGCAGACTGGCTCGGACTGGCGCTACAAATGGCACAGCAAGAAACCATTCGCAGGGAGGGATGGGAGGACGGCACGCCGCCACCACACAGGGATTTTAAGGAGAGGGGTGTGATGCGCTAGCCGTCGCCCACCCTGAGATTTTAACCTTTTGAGAGCCGGCCGCCCGGGCGTTTCTTTTTTCACACGCGAACACACACAATGCTGCTCCTCTCCGCCTCGAGCTGCTTCGCGCCAGCCACCGAGCTCAGGCTCTCCGCTGATATTCCCGATGCTTGAGACAGCCGTTGCTCACACACTCTGCCGCCTGCGCGACACGCACCCGAGGCTCCGTCCCACGCACGCAAGAGACGCCGAGACCGCCGCCGGCTGCGTTTGCACAGGTGCAGAGGTTGTCATGGCAGCGGCGGCGGCACTTCTCGCTGCGGCCGAATCTCGATGGGCTCCGCGGCGCTCTCGGGCGAGGCAGCTGAAGAGGCGTACTGGCGGGCGTGGTTCTGGGACAAGGCCAGCGAGGCGGTCGAGGAGCAATTCGCCTCGGCCGGGAAGCGCGCGCTGCGGCGCGTGCGCGAGTACATCAAGGTGAACCGCGGCGATGTCGCGCAGGGCATGCCGAAGAAGCTTCGGAAGCACCCGCACTACGAGGTGGTCGGAGGCGGCTTTTCCCTCTAGATGCACCCGCAGTCCGCGTGAGATGCGCCAGCTCTCGTGCGCCTGCAGCGGCGGTCGCTCCTGTCGTGCGCGGCCCTCCCTCTGGGCTGCAGACACGAGAAAGCGCGCGGCCCTCTCCCCCCCCTCGCGCAGGCTACTTTCCTGGGCTGTCGGCCACGCCGTTTCTCGACGCGAGCGCTGCGCCGTTCGACGCGATCCGGCGCGCAGCGCCGGCGACCCGAGATTACCCGAGATTACCCGAGAGGACCCGAGATTATCCGAGATTACCCGAGATTACCCGAGATTACCCGAGAGGACCCGAGATTGCCCGAGATAGTACCGGAGAGTACCCGAGAAAAAGGAAAGAGAGGACCCGAGAGGACCCGAGAGGACCCGAGAGGACCCGAGAGGGCACGAGAGCAGGCGCGCGGCGCCGGCGATCCGAGAGGAGCTGGTCGGTCTGCTGGCGCGCGAGGCGGAGTTTGAGGACATCGGCAAGCCGCTCGGGTGGAGGACGATGCCAATCTACTACCGCGGCGAGCGGCAGGCGTCCTTTCCGGCGGAGGAGTGTCCGCAGACGATGGGTGCGCTGGGCAAGCTTCGTCTCGCGGGCGAGACTGTCGCGTTCCAGAGGCAGAGTCCGGGGACGGGGCTGCCGCGCCACGTCGACCCGTGCAGCTGGGTGGTCGCCTGCCATGTCGGGATGGTTTGCCCGACGGGGGAGGAGGGCGGCGAGACGCCCTACATCTCGGTTGCGGGCGAAAAGTACCACTGGCGCGAGGGGGAGGTGATGGTGTTTGACCCGTCCTTCAAGCACGAGACCTTCAACCCGACCTCGCAGGACCGCATCATCCTCAACATCGACCTGTTCCACCCGGAGCTGACCGACCTCGAGTGCCGCGTGATCCAGGAGACGATCCGGCTCAAGACCGAGTCCTACTGTGAACAGCGTCTCTTCACACCCGCAGCTGTGAACAGGAGACGATCCGGCTCAAGAAGGAGCTCTTCGGCTCCACCGAGGCGCAGGAGTGGCGAGGACCGTGAGCTGCCAGCGACCGCTCCGCCGGCCCGAGCCTCCGTCTCAGTTACCCGAGTAGTCGCATCCACACGTTGCACGTTTTGTGAGGCGCCCACAGCCGCGCTAGCTCCGAGGGTGCGCGCTCCCCTCATTTGGAGCACGTGTGTAGTAAGTAAATAAAACGGACACCACTACAAGGAGATCGTCACATGTGTCGTAGAGCGTGTAGCACGTGTAGGGCGCGCTGCCCCCGCCGAGCGCCTTTTCGTCTTTTTTATTTATTAGTAAGAGCCCTCGTGCGCAAAACGAGGCGTTGCGTGTATGGGAGGTGGGCGAGAAATTGCGGCTCGCCTCTGTACACGCGCGCCTCAACGCGCTACCACTGCCCCCCC